TTATATTTTCTAGCTCAGCAAACTTCAGTAAGATCACATAGTATCATCAGGGAGATCTGATCACTATTCATTTTTCCAAGGTGATTATCAGTTATGGATGCCACTGCTATTGCCATGTCCTGTCCATATCTAATTCCCAATTGTCTAGAATCTAAGGAACTGAAGAAGTCCGGAGTTGATCAAACATTGACTTCTCAAAACTTTCCTTAAGGGAACTGGTTATTGACTAGACAATAATTAGCAAGAAGTGGTTAGCCATCTTAAGCAGAAGGCAGGGCAGGGTGGCACCTTGGAGATCAGATTCCTCTCTGAAAGATTTAGTATCTATACCCTGACCTACAATAATTAGCAAGAACATTAGGAACACAAAATGCACTTCTTTTACCCCTCTAGTGGCTAGACTTCAGGATATTTGAGGGTTAAAGCAAGTTGCTTTATTTTAGGGAGACTGAAAATTTCTGTCAGTTCTTCTCAAGCAATTTTAGCAACCATGGGGCCATGTGTTTAAACAACAGGTGGGTGATAGGCGTTCTTGAGCATGCAGAACATCTAGCTGAAAGACTGGATGCCATAATATTTGAGACAGAACCTAAAATCTGATTAACTTTATAAGCAAAGTAGATTAAAGTTTCTCACAATGAGAAAATGCCAACTGGGAAATTCACTGGAGGCAATCTGGATTGATTTTTATGAAGCTTTATCTGGCACTGTTTAACTAGTTGAGACTTCAGAGACTTTGTCACAGAGGAGAAGAATCTCTCTTTTCATGAATGCCACAATTAAGGATTAAATACACCTGTTTGATTGTGGACAATTGGTTTCAAAGTCCAAATATTTATTAGGTCAGCATTCTTCTTACACTGCAGTCAGAAACTTTTTGGCATTCACTAACCAAGAAAAGCAACTGTGTCATTGTACTTGGCACTGCAGTCTATTTTCCATGTATTTTTTTTTTAGTGGAAGACTGCTGAGTTCCAAGCAGGAAAAGAAAAATAGCCCCCAGGTTGGTTGGTTGTTTTCTGAACAAGACAACAAAAAGCTATACCATTTGCTTAGTTTAAAATAGAATATTAATTTCTCCCTACTAGCAAGGGAAAACTGAGACTCCTGAAGTGGGAAATCTATATGCAATATTCACACAATCCTATGACTACGGTATGTATACAAACCACTGAGGAATATGTATTTTACATGCTTCCCGTGCCTCCTCCCCCCAGACAGGATAAAATGTAACAGCTAACAGCTACATTTCACATCAACAGCTATCATTTCTGAATATATTGACAGGAGAAGTTGGTTTCCTTAGCAACTAGAGCCACATGAAAGCTCTTAAACATCTCCTCCCATTATTCCAGTTCTTTAATATTGTAGCCTTTGGTCAGTCAGGTAGTAAAGACAAAAATAATTATCAAATGAAACAAAATTGAGCAAACTTACAGGACTTTTTTTTTTCTCATCTACTTAGCTTTTCCCAGGAGAATTGAATGTGGCTTTGCAAAATGGTCCCATATCAAGCAATCCATATCACATGCTGGCTGACCTTCAAGTTCTGAACTTTCTTGAAAGGTTAAGTTAAAAATTTCAAAAGGCTACTTTGTCTTTGGGGAACAGCATTATTTGACAGGATTTCATAGCATAAACATTTAGCACGAGTACATTGAATGACAGAACAGGGAAGTAACTGGCAGACATTGATAACATGAGCCATGTTTAGTGACCATATTTCTTGAATCCAGAATGCTTGATAGTTTCCATGTTCCAGTCTCAGTGGGGGAGTGACAGAGGGAGGGGAGCTGGAAGGGACCTCACAAGATCGTCTAGTCTAGACTGTGTTTAAGGGGGCTTCTTGAAAGAATACCTATTTTCATATGCTAGTGGCATCCATGCCCAGTAGGGCTGCCAACTCTATTTGAGTCTATTTCAGGAGGTACGGATTACAATTCATAGACTTTACATCAGGAAGGCAAATGCACATTACTATTACATTTAAAAAAAACACTGGACTTCTGTTTAAATTGGATTCTACATTTAATATTTATTTTAATGAATGCCCTATCATTGATCTCCTAGGTGACTCTCAGCAGTCTCCTGGAGATTTATGTCTAATTCCTGGAGACTCCAGGGCAATCCTGGAGGGCTGGCAACCCTAATGCCCAGAGGCAGCATGGTATGCAAGAGACTCACCAAGTCCTTCAGGGTTGTTGGTCTTGCTATTTCACTTTTACACCGGAGTTACCACTGAATGAAGGTCCCAGCCTACTGCTAGTGTTCCAGCAGCACAATCCAGCTGCTGGATGTGTATTTTTGTTTGCTTTGTTTTGGTAAATAAGTACAGTTCTGGCCACCTGTTTTTGTTGCACACAACCCATGGGCGATTGGTGCCTCCTGAGTCTGAGGGGCACCCAGAGAAGCCGGTATTAGCGGTGGGGATGGGTCTGGCAAGCACCTGCAGACACCACCAGTGGCATGGATGGAGCTGGTGAGCCCCTGCAGATGTCAGCAGTGGGGACGGAGCTGGCAAGCACCCGCAGATGCCATCGGCAGTGGGGATGGCTCTGTCGGGGGGGCACATGGCAGTCGCCTATGGGACAACCCATCCCCATATAGTAAAAGAATATTATTAGATTTGCAAAGTTTAAATAATTGGATGTTAGGATACAGGTACATACATGGTTGCCATTGCAACCTAAATTTAGCGAATTGTTCACCTGCCCTGTGCAGTGAATAAGGCAAGGGGGGACATGGACATTTAGAATGTAACCATGCAATTATAGACTGTATCATATTAATTCATGTTTACAATGAAGACAGCATTTCTTAACTTTTGTGGATTTGCATTTGTAACTGAAGTAATCTCTCTGTATAGTATTCTATATAGAATTTCCTACTTTAATGGGGAAAAAAACCCCAATTCCATTATTTATATTAGTACTGATCTCCTGTTCTCATTTACAGTGCCTTGTTCTTGGAACTAAATCTGGAATTGCTAGCAGTGCAGTGCAAACTACTGTCACCTGAGCGAACAGGCTATATCACAATATGTGCAGGAGCAAGGGTGTAGATGAGGGGCAGGGTCGTCTTTCTTTCCTCTCTTCCCTCCCACCCCGCACCATGTCTTCCCCCGCAGTCTCGGTGCACAAACTCTTCTGTTCCACGTGGTGTCTCAGAGATGGTTGGGCAAAGTGTTACTTGTCCTTATTGATAAATGCTACCTCAATGTTCTTTTGCTTTTTTTCTCTCTCTCTCTGCTAACACAGTTGCAATTTGAAACAAATGTTGCCCAAAGCAGCAGTTGCCTGGATGTGCCCTGGGTACCTGTGCCCTGAGTCACTGGAGGGAAAGCCTAGCTGGGTGGTCTCATTGTACTTGTTTCTTTGGCAGCTTCTATGAACTTTTAGTGCAACGTGCACTGCTCCTGTGGTGGTATGAGCTGACACCCTAGTAGTTATGTTCAAGTACTATTTAGTCAGGCTACTAAAATTTCATTGAGGATTGCACGCAAGAGAAGGGGAAAAATGTGTTTTTTAATAACCTGACCGGGATTTTAAGCTTGGTTTATGGACTGAGCTAGATTAAAAATGTTTATTATAAAATAAATATTATCATCTGCAACCCATTGACCAATGATGCATCTTAAAATTTGTATCACCCAAGGACACATCCTATATTTGTTGAGTCTATTATATATTTGGTATTTCAAGTACATTTGAAACCATGAAAACCTCAGCCGTCTAGTGGAGTGACAGGTGGTTCTACTTTTGGCAACACTTCAGTTATTGTAGTTTTGGCTTTGAAACTATAACTCTCTTTGGTTTGTGCCTATTTCAACCCTTCAGAGGAAGAGTAATCCTCTATTTTCTAAGGTTCGTTTGATCACAGATAACTCTTCAAATGAAGTGATGACCTCTTTTTCTCTTTTATTAACCTGATTAGAGGAGTGCAAAGCAACAATATTATAAAAATGAAGGATGATGAGTGATATTGTAGCTAGGATGGTCCAGGAATTTTGGAAAAAAAGAGCTCAGCTTTTAATATAAAGTGTATAGGTAAAAGCATAGAGTTCAGTCTCTATATTACAGAGTAGGAACACACAGCACCTTATTCCTTCCACAGCACAAAAATTTTCCTAAAACATGGCAGACTACTGCCTGCTGTTTTTCCTTGGAGGGAGACCTGCTATCTTGCTGTGGATTCTTATGGACAGCTTCTCTCCCTTCTTCCCTTGGAATGGGACATTAGAAATATCATATCAGCTTTCTAATTTAACATTTACAAGTCATGCTGGGGGGAGGGGATCTTCACCCCCACTTGGGGCTTGGTTAATTAAATAATGCACTGAATACTATAGGATCCAAATACTCACATGATTGAATATTTTCATCTGATATTCAGCCTTTAGGGAGATGAAGTGCATGTTCCCCTCTGCTATGTCTGCTTTGGTATATAGTTTATGGTGTAATCTCTTCAAGCATACCCACCTTCCCAGTGGAGGAATTGATTTCTGGCAGAGCATAATTCTAAGGTGTCATGTGATGATAGTTAAGAGTTCAAAAAAAAAAAATCTCCTTTCTCCTAATACTGTACCACGAAGGTTATTTAACTCAGGGAAACCATATTCTACCTAAAGCTTCCTTAACTCTCTTTTCTGCAGAGTTTCAGCCTAGAAAACTTTCCTAATGTCCTCTTTACTGGCCTTCTAAAGCTATACAATAAGGAACAGTTGAGATCAGCTATCACACTTCAGTGCTCCCTCTACCAAAAAATAAGAGACCAGGCAAGTCAAACATGGCTTCATTTGAAATTTCTGATTTTTGTAATCTCTGCTAGCTAGTCATCAAGATTTAGAATATTTAGCTAGGGAATAAGTAGCATTTCTTTAGTACTTAACACTACCTGAGAAGCGAGAAATTGTGTGTGTGGGGCCGGGGGAGTGGGGGGAACAACTTGGAAAAATATATAAAGTGATGCATCCATTTACTGTGGAATTTACTGAATCTGCCTGTCGGTGTTTAGATAGAAGTCATGTGAGCTTTTGAGCTGCTGGGACTGAGAGAGAGGAGAATATGTGCATTAGTGCAGAGTGCTGCCAGAGACCTGGCAGAGTGGGAGAGACACAGAGAGAGGGAGAATAGAAAGGGGAAGTGGTTGGAGTTGTAGCAGCAGCAGCAGCAGCTGCTGCTGCTACTTGGGAGCTCATGCCTGGGATTCTGCTCAACTTCCAGTGTGTTCCTACCTCTCCAGAGATGCTGATGCTCCAGGTTCAGAAGTCCTAAAAGATCAGTGATGCCTCCAACAAGTAAAAGGATGTGTCTATACTTCTAAGGATTTGTCTGGGGACGACTCCTTTTCCAGGACAGAAAGAGGTAATTTTTATTACTATTTCTTTTCTAATTAAAAATAAAGCACAACTCGCATCTAAAGGGAAAAGACTTATGGAAAATGGCAAGCAAATTGGGAATGGGGGCAGGGGAGGTTGTAAGGTTTTTCCCTTCACTGTTCTTCAGGGTAGCTGAAGTAACAAAGCTCAGTGATTAGGATTATGTTTGATTTATGGAATGGGGATAGGAGAATGGAGGGTGAAGGCAGAGGACTGGACCTAAACTATTTCTAGAGCATAAGGTATCTCTGCTGGTTGTTCCCAAAGTGTAATTTTGTGAGTGGAGCAAAACTTTAGCCAAACATCTTGTGAAGCATTTATTAGTACTCATGTGTTGCATTAAACAGCCAAAGGATTTTAAAAATGCAGATGTTCAGTTCAATGTGATTTGCTTAAGTTGGTGCTTACTAAAACAAACCTCCCATCCTTACCCCCACCCCACAAATTTGAAATCTAGCATCTTTTAATGCCCTGTCAGTATTTGCATGTCCTGTTTCATTCCCTCTCCTGTCTCTTTCTAGTGTATTTGACTTATTCAGCCTCCATTCTTGTCCACATCTCTTCTCCGCCTGTGGTGGCCCTCATGGGGTCCCCAGTACAAATTTTTCGTGAAGAGCCAGGCTCTACCTGCTCCCCAGGTTCCTGCTTCCTTCCCAGCACCAGCAGCAGCAAGCTTCTGGGCTGGGCCGACTATGACAACAATGCCAGTGATGCCTACGAGGACTTGCAGCAGAACCACACCAACATTTCCCCAGCTATCCCAATTATCATCACCGCTGTCTACTCCATGGTGTTTGTGGTTGGCTTAGTGGGCAACTCACTGGTCATGTTTGTCATCATAAGGTAAGGGATGTTGAGCAGGACTGTTTGGCTTTTTAAAACCAAGCCAACAGGCTTCAACTGAGTCTTCATGGAAGGGGTGGAAGAAAAGAGTGCTGTTAAAAGCTCTTTGGGAGATATTAAGTATGTTATCCAGGAACCATAGGGAAGTGACTGAGCTGAGTCCAGATATTTTTAACTGTGCAGCTACTTAGCTCTTTGCTCTTTGCTAGGAGTGCGATTAGAAACTCAGAGGAGCAACTGAAGTTATGAAGTCATCAGTCTGAGTAGTTGGGAGAGAGGTACTACATGCCTGTTTAATGTAATGTGGAGATAGAGTGCCCCCGATGGATAAGAAACAGTCAATGCCACACAAAAAGATGTACTACAATAAGAACACTTATTCTACAAGGCATCTGTTTTCTGAGATTATTCCCTTAAAGTAATAGAATTGTTTATGAATCCAGTCTTAATTATTAGAGATCATCTTATGTTATGCTGGATATTAAAAATTATTTGGACAGTCAGAATAGAAATCTGGAAATGTTTCTCCTTTAAATCAGGCCATTGATTAGTTAAACTCCATTCTTCCTTCTTGGCCTGATGAAAGCAAAGTAAGCATCAGTAGGGTTTTTCATATTTAAAAAAAACAGGAGCAATTTATATGTATTTGCAATTATTAGTGTTTCACATTAAGCAGCACAGTTAAATTAACCTATATTTACAGTTGCATAATTGTGTACATTTTTGTTAGTTTCCAGTGTAAGATGGAGTATTCATGTTCTCTATTTATAATTTCTATTTGCAGTTTATAAAAAATACTCTATATGGTACAGTTTGGCAAGCTTATAGCACACTTTCTGTCCTTTTAATCTCCTGCTTTACAATGTACTTGAAATCTGCAATAAGCCTCCAGAAAGTTGTGTTCAAGACTTCATTATTGCTTAAGTAAAACAAGTTCATGTTTGGAAAGTCAGCTGGAAGGTATTAAAAAAGATCTGATGAACAACTCTGGCATGCTATGAATCCAATTGCAGAATTATGACAAATGTGATGATCGATTCAGATAGAAGTTAAATGGAAAGCAATATGGTTATTTACAATGTACTTTTGGAAGACCACTTGCAATTAGATAGCAACCTCTGAAAATAAAATCCCTTTTAGAAATCAGTACAATAAATAAGATGCCTATGGGTCAATATTAAATAATACGTTTGTTCCAGTATTGTCTTGCTGTAATTTTCATACTCCTACATATTGTTTGGTCCTTTACCATATACCTTTACATACAATGGGAATTTAATTTCTTTTTGTATGCATGTGGGGAGAAAGAGGCCTTTAACTTTACACTCCCTCCCCCCTTCTTTCTTTTTCTCTCTCTTTCCCTCCTAATATTTTTTGGAGTTCTGCTTCTTATGGCTTTCTTACGCTTGCCAGCATCCTCACGCTAGACTTCTGTTATGCTTTCCTTCTTCTCTGTCTCTAGCTTATATTAATGTATCTGGCATTGCTAAGATATATATTAAAATAGGTTTTAAAAAAAGCCAAATGCTGGTACCTAATTATTCATCCTGTTTGCAGTCTACCTTCTTTTCATCACACTTGCCTAATATATACCTACTCTTTGGTTTTTCATAATCCAGTGAAACTATATATTGTGGCAGAGTCCCTTTCTCCTCACACTCAAGCTCTGTGGGAAGCTTATGGAAAAGTGGTTTGGGCAGGATATTTCCCTCCACCTTTCCATTTTTCTTCCCCTCCTCCTACCAGAAGACTTATGTGGGATGATGACACACTGCTTGCTCCTTTTCTTTTTACCTCTCAAATAGGTAGGGGATGCATATGATTCTATTCATTGTCATTTCTTCCCTGTCTAAAACCTCCAACTAGTGCTAGCTGTTCCCCTCTTACCACCTGCATTGTTGCTAGGCATTGCAGACAGCATGGGGAAGGCTCACCTTCCTTCTTATTACTTTTCATTAAATAAAGCTGAGCAGTACATTGCAAGAGTCTGTAAGCAAAACCACAAATGTCAGGAGACTTCTGATAAAACAGGAAAAGTTAGCAGCACTGCCGCATATGTGGGAGACTTACAGCAGCCTGAGGAAAAACAGACCGGAGAAAGTTGGACCATACAGATTTAGATAAAAGGTCAAATGAGGTGACCCTGACCCAGAAATGATTACTTAATTGGTCTGTGAGTTGGATGCCGTGAAACTGAGACTGCACACAGGGGCCTTCATCCTTCACCTTTCTGGATAACTGAGTAGGAAAAAATACTGAGTAGGAAATAACAATAATATTTTACACACTGTTGTACAAGGTTTCAAAAATTGCCTGCCTTCCATGATGCTTTTATGAAATAGCATCTCTTGAAACTTCCCTTTTCAGATTGAAAAGAACAAGTTTTCAGTTTGAAGGTATCTCTCTTTCTCATTCTTCTTGAACCCAAGAGAATTTTATGATTAAATTTATGAACTATTTTGGCTTTGACAGCATTTTTTCTTTGGGAAAAACGTTTCATTGAACATTTTCCAGTCAGCTCTAATATGTAATCTCTCTTCATAACCTACATGTGTAATGCCTATGTGACATTACAAGGAGTTGGAGCTTGCTTCAGTACAACAAGAATTATGGGGGAGGAGGTGGAAGAGAAAGGGGGCTGGTGGGGACTGGGAAAGACAGTCCCCACTTGAGAATGATGTTATCCTGGAAGAAAAGGGAGAGATGATAATATGAAACCCCTGATAACTACATCCTCTGTGGGATGGGATTAGAAAAGAGAGTATGTAGATATAGAAGACAGATATAACTAAGAGCTCAACCTGTAGTGCATAATTCTGTGGAATGGAAGCCAAAAGAAGATAAAAAATGAGGGGGAGAAGGAAGGAAGAAGAATGCTTGAAATGCAATTCTCAAGGAGTATATAAAAAGTGCCTATTCTGCAGTGGAGAGAAATAGGGGGAAAAGGTATATGATGATGTGTAGAGAAGAAGGTAAAGAGTGAGAGTGAAACATATATTGGTAGGGTGTAGAAAAAGAGGAACATCAGTGGGGAGGGAAGCAGTGAGCAGGTAAGGGAAAATAGAAGAAAGAAAGAAAGAAAATAGAAGAAGGAAAGCATCTGTAAGTGATAAAGAGAGAAACCCATACTTAGTTGGGTTTGAGCAAGTAGCAGGGGGGGATACGAAGAAGGTCAGGCTTTTTCAATAACACCACTTTTAAGGGGGTAAGATAAATTCTCCTTAATGTGTGTGTACATGTACATGTCACAGTTTAAGAAACTGTTCAACATGCTATTGTGATGGGGAATATATGAATATCTGGAGAAAGGGGAGAGAGTTCTGCAGACACCAGTGAAGAATCTTCTTCTTTAGTGTTGTAGGAGGATACCAAACCACATGCTTTCTCTTTGGTGGAGGGAGAAGTTCTTTGAAGGTAGAAAGCATAACAAGAAATTGCTGATACTATTTTATTAAGGAGGTTGTGTGGCCTGGTGGACTGGGAGTCAAAAGAGACTTGGGACTTTTCCTGGTTCTGTGACTGAACTTCGTATATGACCTTGAGAAAATCACTTCACCTCTTCGTGTCTCAGTTTCCCCTTAGATAAAATGGGATAATGATTTTGATTTTCTTTGTGAAAGCAGCACTTTCAAATCCTGCCTGCTTTACCACCAAAACCCCAAACTCCTCCAAAGCCAGATTTTCTGCCCCAGAGGCTTGCAACGCTTCAGGGACAGTGGGCTGAAATTACCTAGCTCTGTCCAAGGAGGGCTGGCACTTTTCATAGATTCATTGATTGTAAGGCTGGAAAGGACCTCAGAAGACCATCAGGTCCAGCCCCCTGCACTAACCAGGAAAGATAACTGGGGATCAGGTGACCCCAGCAAAGTGACTGTCTAGTCTCCTCTAGAAGATTTCCAGGGTACGTGATTGTACCTCCTCTGGAGGGAGCTTATTCCACAGTCTGGACACTGTAACTGTGAAGAAGTTTTTCCTAATGTTGAGCCTGAATTGGTCTTCCAGGAGTTTGTGGCCATTACTCCTGGTTTTCCCCTCAGGTGCCCTGCTGAACAGTTGCTTACCGAGCTCTTGATGTGCTCCCCAGTGTAGCGGTAAGCTGCTACCAGGTCCTTTCTCAGTCTTCTTTTCTTCAGGCTAAAGAGTCCCAGATCCCCCAGCCTTTGCTCATATGGCTTGCCTTTTAAGACTCTGATCATACAGGTGGCTCTTCTTTGGATTCTCTCAAGCTTGTCCATGTCCTTGTTAAAGTGTGGTGCCCAGAACTGGACGCAGTACTTCAGCTACAGTCTCACCTGTACTGAGTGGAGTGGAAGAATCACCTCCTTGGTTTTGCTGGAGATGCATCACTTGATGCATGCCAGAGTATTATTTGCCCTACTGGCTATGGCATTGCACTGCCGCCTCATATTTATACTGTGATCTATTATTACCCCCAGGTCCCTTTCATTCATGGTGCTAGTTAGTTTGGTGCCACCAAGCCTGTGGGTGTGTTGAGGATCGCTCATCCTGAGGTGGAGCGCTTTACATTTCTCACCATTGAACTTCATCAGGTTCCTATCTGCCCAGTTTACTAGCCTGTCTAGGTCTGCCTATAACTATAGGCTATCTTCAAGCGTAACCTCGCTTCCCCATAACTTGGTGTTGTCTGTGAACTTGGCCAGTGAGCTATTCACTCCCACGTCCAAATCATTAATAAAGATGTTGAAAAGTACTGGACTGAGCACCGACCCCTGCGGGACACAGCTGCCTACTTCTCACCAGGATGACACGGATCCATTCACAATGACTCTCTGGGTCCTATCCTGCAGCCAGTTTCTCACTCCCCTGACTGTCTCGGAGTTAAGTCCACAATCCTCCAATTTTCTTGTGAGGACTTCATGGGATACTAGATCAAAGGCCTTTTGGAAGTGTAGGTATACAATGTCAACCTGCTCTCTTGTGTCCAGGTGGCAAGTTACCTGGTCATAGAGGGAGATGAGGTTGATCTGCCTTCTGGCTGT